ATCAGAGAAACAGAGAATTTAGGAAAGTGATTATACAAAACAAACACTATTTTACAACTTTCCTCTTAACATCAGAGTCCAAAAGCAATTTCAGGGCTACCAACCCTGCTCTGAATTGTAACCTCCTGTGGTTGAAACAAGTTACAGATTCTCGTTGCTTTGATGGATCTGGGTATTTACATGGCACTATAATTCATCAGCAGAGTTGCAACTTGGTCACGGAGCCATCCTTACCCTAGAGGTGGATCGTTGCAAGCAACTTTTCGGCTAGCATGGCAGCCTTCTTTGGCATGGTGCTGTGAAGGAAGATTCAAGTGTCTTTTGATGAACAATGCAGCTTTGATAAACTCCAGGGCCAAAACATCCCTCCCCTGGAATTCTGTTGCATCATATCATTGAGAGTGACTCGGTCAGATTAGCCTTGTGTACACGAGGAATACGTGAGAATGACTGTAGTGTTCAAGGTAGTGTGTGTGCCCCAACGTCTATAAATTCCCGATAATCAAACATCACATATCAAAATGTTTCATATTTGAATTGTTTCTTCTGCAAATGTCAGTCATGCTCCCTTGACATCTTGTAATTATAATATTTATAATAATATTATTAATGATTACGCAAAGTAAAATATTATCAATGAAAATCTTGTAATTACCCCAGCAATGATCTGCTCCGCGTTTTGATTCCAATTAAAATATTTATAATAACCAAAAAAGACAATACAAATAAAAAAAAAGTACCTCTGGTTAGTTATTAACACATCTTCTTTAGGAGACCCAAAACCAAACCAAACAACAACACTCACGTTTTGTCACTTTGGACTCTGTCAAAAAATAAATAAATTGTTTTTTGTTTTTCCAAAAAAAAAAAAAAAAAATCAATTCGCGTCTGTCCTCCCAAAAAAAAAAACCAATAGGATAATAATTAATGTGTACGTGTTGATCAAATAACAAACTTCTTTTTTTTTGTCTAGAAAAAAAATGTCAGTACAAAACAAAATCAAAAGAAGAAATAAAGGAAAAGAAATCGCTGAATTTGCCAGGTAAGTGTTTTAAGGATGGTGGTGGTGGTTATCGCCCATCACTTGTCGTTACTCTAGTTTTTATACTAAAATTTTGACTTTGTATTTTTTTATTAGACCATCATCACATAAAGTAAGTAATAGGTGATAGGTGAATTGTATTCTTTGTGAATGGTAAAACTGACTGTTTTGATATTAATACATATATATCTTGTAAATTTTCATCAACAGTTGAAATCTAACAACAACAACAACAACAATGACAATAATAATGATGGTGATAACAGTAGTAGTAATAAGATTTGGACATTAGAAAATTTTGATATTGGATGTGGACTTGGTAAAGGACAATATGGGCGTGTTTATCTTGCAAGAGAGAAAACAAGTGGATATATTGTTGCATTGAAAGTGGTGTCCATACCTGAAATTATCAAAGCTAAAACTGAAAATCTATTAAGAAGAGAGATTGAAATACAAAGTAATCTAAGGTTAGACAAATAAATAAATACTTACTCGTGCAGATAATTAATTATGATAATAAGTATACTAATTTAACACGTTGATTATTATTATAGACACCCAAATATTCTACGTCTATATGGACATTTCTATGATGAAACACATGTATTTCTGATTCTTGAATATGCAGCTGAAGGTGAACTTTATAAGCATTTAGAAAAGTGTACCAAATTTACTGAAAAACGGGCATCAAGGGTTTGTGAATTTTATTCAATCAATCAGTTAGTGTCTAAGGAAGATCCTAATAATGATTATAATTCAATTACCAATCAAAATATCTATTAGTATATTGCTCAGGTGGCAAGTGCTTTAGTTTATCTTCATCAAAAGCATATTATACATCACGATATCAAGCCTGAAAATCTTTTGTTGGATTTTAATGATGAACTTAAAATAGCCAATTTTGGTTTGTCAGTACATACTCCTAGTCAAAGGTAAATAATAATAATATAATAAATATTATTATAATAGTATCTTCACTAATGATATTATATATCTATAACATCCATTACACCATCTAATAAGATGCACAACAGTTTGTGGTACATCGTATTACCATTCACCAAAAATGATCGAGTGTTCAAAAATTGATTTATGGTCTCTTGGCATCTTGTGTTATGAATTATTGTCTGGCACTGCACCATTTGCGGAAAAGGATTGTTCTGCTACGTATGAAAGAATCAGAAGAGTTGATTTTAAAATGCCTCAACACTTTTCAGAAAATGCTAAGCACTTGATTAGATCGGTAAAGCACTTTATCATTTGAAAAATCAAATTATTCCTTTTCTATATCTTTATCTGAATATTTTTATATGATTTCTTCACACACATACACACACATTAAAAAAAATTTTTAATTAAATTAAAGCTTCTTCAAAAAGATCCTGATAAACGATTACCTTTGGAAGAAGTCTTGAAGCATCCTTGGATCTTAAAGCATAAGAATCCAACCTAATAAGGATAATAATATTAATTTTGTAAAGAACTTATCTGCTCATCAAAAAATCATCACGGGAGAAAAATATTCTCTCATTGTATTTTTTCTTTATTTTAAAAAAAAAGAATGCTTAACAATAGTATTTGAAGTAATTTAAGTAATTACAATTATCCGAAGTAATTTATTTTTAAAAAAATACAAATTAAACAATTAAAATAAACTATATAATATACAATAATAATAATAATGACACGATATATTAAAATTTTCCATTTTCAATTACAATGACATCTATTCCTTATTATCATTTTTGATGATCAAAATAAATAATTCAATATAGCAACAAGATATTGCAATAAGCAGTCATCCTCAAAAACAGTCACTGGTATCACCAAGCCTAATTTATTAAAAATTATATACATTTATTATATAAAGTAACAACACTTTTTAAATGAAAAATCACATTACATAAGATTTATTAATTAATTAGGAAAAGTATATCCATCACTCATTATTATAACATATATGTATTAGTATAACTAACGTTACAACGTGATAACATTTGTCTTATATCATCTTGATGCTAGTCGGGTTGCTTTTCCTTATTATTATTATGTAACGTTAGGTAAAACAATGAAAAGAAATAAAAAGAAACTCATCACATAAGCTTTATTAATATTAATTATACACTCATTATCCATTATAACATGCATGCAACAATGTTATGGTATACCATTCACTACAAATACACTATAATATTATGTTAATATATAATTGATCTAAAAAGGAATTGATTAAGGTGCTTTGTATCAAATACAAAAATAAATAAAAATACCTTTCTTGTTCATTTCTTGGTAAGTTCCACTTCTTTATCTTATTCTTGCTCATTTCTGACAATTTCTTCAACAACTTGTTCAAAAGCTTTTCTTTTCTTAACAGTTTTTTTTCATTTCTTAGTGATGGCAAGGATCTTTTATTTATTTATTTTTTTTTAGAAATAGCACTTGATTCAACAAATGAGTCCTCAAGTTTTTTTAGTGTTGCTTGATTCTTGTCAATATTTTTTCCTTTTTTGTTATTGTTTGATGATAGTGATGAGGATAACAATGATGATGATGGCAATTCTATAACTGGATATGTAAATTCTAACTCCACAGTCTCCAAATGCAAAAAATCATTCCTGCCTGGTACTAATTTTCCAACTGTTGAAATTACAGTTTTTTTTAGGTTATCCTTGATGTATTGAAATTTATATAAATAATAAATACATTTATGTATCTAATATAATTTATATCATAAAAGAAAATTTTTCTTTACCTAGAGTTGATAGGATATGATGCCAAAATCTTTGTTTCGAGATTTTTTGTTTTGGTGACTCCGTTGTAAATCCTCTTCATTAAACCAATACTCTCATATCCAATTTACTATCCTTTTTGTGTGTTGCGCTAATGTATGTTCCAGTGCATTTAAATAGGAGGAAGGGTTTGTAGTATATGCTTGTTGTCACCAGTACTAGAACTGCATCTACAACAAACATCAACGCTTCCAAAAATAGTATTGGGTGATAACCTGTTTATATTTTTAGGAAAGCAATCAAAATGGGTAAAAATGATTCCAGAGATGTAGCCATCGATTGGCTATGTGAGCAACTTTTGAAAGAAAAAATTATAAAAGACAATCTTGGTTTTATTATATTGGATCTTCTAAGAACATTGCCTACTTCAAAAATCCGAAATGATCCCAGTGAAATCACATTAATTACAAATAATCTGGACAGGATAATGAAAGGACTTTTTCATGATCCAGACAAGACCTTAGTACAATGGCCTAATACTGAATTACACGAAAGCAAAATAAGAAACTTAGCCAGTAGAGCAAAGCAGCCTGATTTCACAGTTTCTTTAATACATCAACAACAAATTGATTCAGTGATTTTTGTTGGAGAAGTAAGTCCACCTTCTGAAAGAAATAATGTTTTCAAAAATTCAAATGATTTGATCCAGTTAGGTACTTTTATGAAGGATTGTATGGACTCATCCATAGCTAAAGGTGCAGATATTGAAATATTAGGATTTCAATGCATTGAGTATACTGTGGATTTTTATGTGATGGATTTAGCTGGTAGGGCTACTTACACAATGTCACATCTAGGACAAATCAAGATTCCTGCAGATTTCAAAGATATTTATTCATTCATTGATGATATAGGATTGCTATTAGGAATAAAAGATATCTTTACAAGATCGTTTAATAATTTTTATGAAAAGCTTCGTGTACCAAGTCAATTGGAAATAAAACCTACATTGAAGAAAAAAACATTAAGCACTGAAGAATTTGAGAAGTTGGTCAGTAAAACAAGAGAAAAAGGTTGTGTCCATTGTGGTATGGAAGTGTTTAAAGGATTTTTCTTTCTCATTATATATTATTTTGATTTTAATTGTTTTTACTTCATCTGAAAATTTGTGTTGTCTAAATAATAAGTTTTTATTATAAAAAGTTAATCTTTCTTGCTTAGTTTAGATTTTTAATAATTTAGTTAAACATTGAATATTTAGTAATCTGAGGCTATGGATATTGAGATTATCTGTTAATTAATATATATCTAATTTTTTAGTTGTTTTTAACAATTTCATTTTAAATATGCCTTTATTTGTTATAATAATGACAAATTGATTGTTAGCTTAAAATAAAAAATTGTAAATACAATTAATAATGATGATTAAATTTGATCCCTGAAATCCTTGTAAGACCAATGTTCACTTTGTCTGGTTTTGTTGCAACATGCCCCATATGAAATTACACTCAGTGACATGTCCCATGACTGATATGATAACAACACAGCGTAAACCTAAAGTTTGCGCGATTATTTACACGTGATTTATTGCAAGAATGGGCTATGTAATACCCTTGCAAGACATAGCGTACTTATTGGTAATAAGCGTGGTCATTGAACAGGCACACCTTGCCAAAAGCAGCACACGGGAAACAAATCTTAAGGACAAGGGCTTAATCTCAGCAGATCGTAACACAAAG